AACCAAGGGTCGATCTCAAATACTAACAGTGCTCGGACGATGATGACGATGATGTTCTATGCTATTGTAGACGAGATATTATTAAATTGCTCAGTCAATCGCTTACCTCTGACTCAATATGATGGCCCTGGTACTTTCAGGGATGGCTGCAAATGATTATGGAGGGGTACCTCCTGCGGACTGACATCGATCGTATCCGGCGTAAACAGTACAGACGGAATGCAGAGACACCCCGGGAGGGACGACTGTAGGAAGGGCTTGAAAGGAGCAATGTGATTAGCTTATACCTACGAGGGATTATTATTATGGAGTAAGGTAGGATCGATATCGACAGGGGTGTGTTTGTTATGGAGGCTGATGCCAATCAGAAGTACAGCATGATAGCATCTTTAGTTTCCCAAGAATACTGTGAAGTCACTGAGCCACCTCGGTAACCATGCTTGGATTTCGAAGGAGAGATAGATGATGACTTTCTTCGCTTTTGATCTCATGGTTCTCTTCTCTGAAGAAGTGTTCACTATTGAGACAAGTAATCTTAACCACAAAGCTCATCCATCATAATAATATAGGAACGCAAATAGCCACCTATAGTAGTAGAAGCAAAGAGGGCTCCACTTGTAACTTTACCGCAGGCCGACTCACATCTCCCCGCTGACTGCGACAAATACAAATCCACTCAGTCTGTCCGTCTATTTGAAACGAATCAGATCTCAGTCTCATTCCAGATGAATAATAATGGTGAGTCTGAACCCAGGTAGTCGCATTCTGACTAACTTCCACCCAGATGCAGGTCGAGTCCAAGAACGGTTGCGAATCATCTTGCATCAAGCCGTTTCGGATGGCGCAGAAACGGAGGCAAACTCTGGGACCCAGTGGAGACTGTCATCCTCGAATACCTACTCATGGGCGACAACGCATTAAACAGCAAATAACAATGCTCATGCTTCACCGCGATTGCACCAGATCGATTGAATCGTCCATACGCGGTGGATGACGGAACCACGGACTGCATCGCAAGTGCCCTCCTGGCTTCTAATCCAAAGCATCCGGCCTCCACTCTGCCTCCCTCGACACTTCTATATTAATGCCATTGATGTCCATCTTCACCTCGTTGCTCCATCGCCTTCTTCCCCTCCCCACATCGACTATCACTGACTCTGCATTGATCGTTGCTCTTGGTTCCAGTCCTCTTTCCTACATACCTGTACCACGGTATCAGGTCTGATACTGCTCCGCTTATCGTCACCGTCTTATCTTCGCACGGGGGAATCAGGCGTTGCATAGTCCCCTTCACTCTCCACGTTTTTGAAATTCTTCTTTCCGGATTCAATTCCTTGATAGAAGATCTCTTTGGTGATCGACGACATCATCCACAACCCCATTCCTCTCCCTTCTCCTGCAGTATAGTTGACCCACTGCTCTCACCAATCCATTCCTGCCGCCCGCCCTGGGACTCCCTACCCACGTATTCTCCACAATTTCCTCAAAACCCGTCTCAAGATGGCTACGACCGACGGCTTCGGCTCCCAGAGGGTCCGCAGGCTTTCCAGCATTGATGCGACTCGGGCCGACCTGTACGGCGGACCTAACGTCGTCGTGCCCCCGAAGCATCTGATGGCCTCCAGCGAAGCCCATGACACGGCCATGGAGATGGCAATGGCCAAGCAGCACCTGGATGAAGAGGTTTCCTCGGAAGAAGAGTCTCCTCGTGTCGCTTCACCTGTCGCCAAGACAATCCGTAAGCTCACGACAGCGGATGAGTTCGCTCTGGCCTTTGACATCGATGGCGTCCTCATCAGAGGAGGTCAAGCTATCCCTGAGGCTGTCGATGCGTTAAAGTATATCAACGGTCAGAATCCGTATGGTGTCAAGATGTACGTCGTTCCTCCCAATAACTCTCCCGTGCAAGATAATTTACTAACTCCTTATTCTAGTCCCTACATTTTCGTAACGAATGGTGGAGGCAAGACCGAAGAGGAACGGTGTCTGGACCTCAGCCGGCAGCTCGAATTGGAGGTCTCGCCCGGTCAATTCATCTGCGGACACACTCCCATGCGGGAGATGGCCGAGAAATACCACACAGTCCTCGTGATCGGCGGCGAGGGGGAGAAGTGCCGGATCGTAGCCGAAGGTTACGGCTTCAAGGACGTCATCACGCCAGGCGACATCATCAAGACACGACACGACACGACACCATTCCGGAAACTGACCGAAGAAGAGTACAATAACTCACGCGTCCGCGAATTCAGCAAGACGCCCATCGAGGCCATCTTCGTCTTCGCCGACAGCCGGGACTGGGCCGGCGACCAGCAGATCATCCTCGATGTCCTCATGTCGAAGAACGGATACCTAGGCACCCGCTCGGAGACATTCGACGAGGGTCCCCCGATCTTCTTCTCCCACAACGACGTCGTCTGGTCCACCTCCCACGAGCACGTCCGCATCGGCATGGGTGCGCTCAGAGCCTCGCTCGAGGCCCTCTACAAGGCCGTCACCGGGAAGGAACTGACCACCATCGCGTTCGGCAAGCCCCAACTCGGCACGTACGAGTTCGCAACCCGCCTCCTCCGCCAATGGCGCAAGGATACCCACGGCATCGACAAGCCCCCTTCCACCGTCTACTTTGTCGGAGACACCCCCGAGTCCGACATCCGCGGCACCAACGACTTCGACCGCATCAGCGACTCCAACTGGTTCTCCATCCTTGTCAAGACGGGCGTGTACCAGGAAGGGACCATCCCGCGGTATCCGCCCAAGAAGACCTGTGATAATGTGCTCGAGGCCGTCAAGTTCGCCACGAACCGCGAGATGTCGAAGATGGTCGATGAGTCTGCCATTGCCGATGAGGACGTTGATTCCGGGATTGACTCGGAGTCAGCCGCGGCGCAATAGTCGTCCTGGTTTCCCTCATCTCTTCTTTACTTCCTTTTCGCCCTTAAATGTGCATATCCGCATTCCCCAGATATCCCTTGAACCCGTCATCATCATCCCATACCTTACATCCGACACATATATCCATCTTCCATTTCTTGTTCTGTCTACCGCACATTTTGATTCCCAGATATGACTCGGCTATGATGTTTCAGAGTGTTCTGCTTTTTCGGTGACATTGATCGCCACATAGATTTCCCCTAGGTTCCGGTTTGACCTGCTTTAACTGAAGCTTTTATAAATGGCATGGATCAGATTACATTTCTCAAATATCTTCAAATCTATCACTAAATGACCATCCCTCTATATCCGTATACATACAGCCACTCAGTCTCACTGTACAACATCACTTTTGAGCAATCAAATGCAACCAGACGAGTACAAGTCTTGAAATGTAGAAATCCACAATCCATGCCATTCAGCGACGTCATTGGCGGCTATACAAGGCTGAAGCCAAGCGTACCTAAAAACGCCATCGATGGAATCACGCAGCCACATGGACAGGGGGGTTGTAACGGAAGCACACAAACGGCAACTCCGGAATCATAAGGTTAGTAGCGTCCCATATTCGTTCGCGTGTGTCAGGACGAAGTTAGAACGCCAGGATGCGGAGGTGAGACATCCGCTCTCGAGTCATTTATTTGTATTGGCCTGAGCGTAAGAACCAACTTCCATGTAGTCATCCTGAGTAAAGGACGAGATGATTGGTATTCTGCTTGCTTTCTGTGTCCACCGATTCAATTGATAGGGTGATAAATCGAGTGCATGCCGTCGTCTCTGCTATCGCGGGGCAGACTAGGCAGTAGGCACCAGGGGGATGGTGGGTTGCACCAACAGCCAAGAATGCAGAGAGCCTATAATGGAACTTGAAGTCCTCACTGCCCCTTAATTTGATGATTGGATGATGATGATTGCAGGAAACGGCCATGGGGATGGAGACAGAGCCATGGCACATTCCAATGATTCCATGGGGTGTTCCACTTTTGACCCGCTTTATCCCGCACAGAAATCGCTCCCCGCATTACGATGTGGAGATCACTCGATATCAAATTCGTTGTCGAGCCAATGCTTCACGACGACTTTGCCCTCTTCAAATCCCTTTTTCGCCATTCGCACAATTATGGCTGCATGGCTGTGCCGGTGATTATGGATCCAGACCGGGTATTTTCGGAATCCCACGGAATTGAGTGATTCGATGATGGAGAATTGAGCGGGCGTTAGAGCCAGTGTGGGATCGCCCTTTTTGTCAGGCAACATTGGAGAAGTCTGGTCTGGCGTATCTGGTTGATTTTCGATGACCCCAGTCTTGCTGACAGCACGTGTTCGCAGCAGTGATTCTTCCTTTCCGGTACTGTTGCGAGCGTTTGGTAGGTAGTCCGGATCCTGCATCGCGTTTGCACTCTCAAAGGCGTCTTCGACTGCATGTTGCATGTCCTTCACAATGACAGGCACACGGTAGTTCGAGAGAAGTACCCCTGCCTTTCCGTCCTCATGAAGGCGAATACGCTGGCGACTGCGATATGTCTGTACAGCAGCGTTCATGAGGAATAGTAAAACGGCGATGGGGACAAGGACAACGACGAGCAGCCAAATTGGCACCTTGGTCAAAGTGCCTTTGATCTGTTTCCACAGTCTGGAAACGAAAGAGGGCCGCTCTTGTTTCTTCGGAGGCAGGAAGTAGTCATCAGGATCAATGACGACTGGCCCGTATCCCTTCACATAGTTGACGTTCACGTTTTCCAGGTCCTGGAATGGGTTCGTCGTCGAAAGAGAGGTCGTGAATAAATGTGTCGAGCGGTCGTTGACGATATTCGCGTATACTGAACGATTTCTGAACTTTGCCAGAGCTTGAACGAAGATGCTATCCGGATCAGCGAGGATGCTGAGCAGAGGCCTTCCCCAATCTCGGAACTCATCCACCATGAACAACTGCCTGCCGGACATGGACAAGGTCCGGGCGCCCAAGACATTGAAAATGTGGTCTTGAAAACCCTTCAATGGCATTCTCACACCGACATGGGGCGACACAAACGTCGTGAAATTGACAGGCTCCAGCTTGTCGAACCATCCTCGCGCGTGTAGCAAACCCAGCGCATATCTGGCGACTAGGCCTCCCAGAGAATATCCAACAACGCTCAGTTTCTTGATATGGATCCCCTCTGCTGCCAAGACATCCAGAGTGTCTTCAATCTCATGCGCCAATCGCTCCCCTCCGAGCTCGATTCCATCGTAGGTAAAATTCCCAGAATTTCCCTTCGCGGCGAGTATGTAGAGACGGTCTTCTCCGTAGCGCTCTCTGAGAGACGCGGCCAGGTAGTCCAGATGGGATGGATTGCCCCAGAGCCTAGAATATGCAGCCGTGCAATCAGCTATCCATGTATCGGACAAGAAACGTCATCGTGGCGGCAGGTGCGAGAGCTCTTACCCATGGACTAGGACACAAAGATGATCAACCTTCTGCGACATTTCATGAGATTGTTAGTTACCACCAAATCTTCTTCTGTGAGCAGTACAGCAGAAGCATGGCTTGAATTCCTGGTCATGGTCAGTTTAAATCCCAGGTCTTCTGGTGCGTATCATCCTTCTGCCTGATCTCATCGATCACGAGAGATAAGCCCCATTGGGATCTTGGCGCCGTTAGTGCCTGATAGATCAGGCATGTTTGTTCGGTTTGCAACTTGCTCTTCGCTTTGATCGGAGTTTAGAAGACCAGAACACCTGCTCATATGGCTTGTCCTAACCCAACCCTACAGATAATCGCGATCATATCGAGCTACGGCCCCTATCGGCTGATAAGTTCCTGTTCCTGGGATAACTGCTATATCCCACTCCAGCCAGCTGTGGTGGCGGTGCTTCACATTATTTGGGACGCGGGACACGCCTCCATGTCGCCATAACTGAGCTCGATGTTGTTTGACAGCGAGGATATGGATGTATGAAAGCTGATGCTCTCACCTTTAAGTGCATAATCACAATTGATGCGCTAGCAGTGAAGGGTGCTCCTCCTCAAAATCTACCTCGGGCATAAGCACCCGATTCAATCCCGAAGTAGGGTCAGCAAGGAAGATGCGTCCTCAGAATCTTTTGCTTTGATATGGATTTGAACTCACTTGTTCCATCCAACCGAGCTCTGTCTACTTTGATCACAGTCTCACTTCTCGAGATTTGCATCTGACCTTGAACGCCACCTGTATCAGTGTGGCATCTATTCTCAGGTTGATACTGTATCATCATGTTTACGCCTCTTGGGCTGTTCAAGGACGTTCCTTGTCCGGAAGGTCAACAATGCTCTCTCCTAACCTGCATATTTTCTCACAAACCTGTGAGCTCTTCCTTAGTTGATCAGAGCAATTCTCAAAATACGCCTGCAGCGCCAGAAGAGGCGTATGAGTCAGGCCCGCCTTCAAAGAAGCCTAGGCTGGAGACTCCACCGGAGACTGCCGCACAAAAAGCTCAACCCTTGTCAGTCCCTGAAAAGGGAGTCATAGATCCAGTACCTGCTTCAAAGGGTGTGACGGGAAGCAAACCAGAACAAACAACTCGACGCGCCGGTCAGCTTCAGTCGATGACCCGCGAAGTCTCCCCTCCAACTTTGCGGAAAGAGTTCTCGGCAAGGAAACATGGTCCTCCAGCATCTGGCAAAGGCGAAGCTCGTTTACCACCTAGACGAGCACCCCGAGAAAGTCTGAACCCGCGTATGCTCCCAAAGGCACCTGCGACTCATGGTGTGCGACTATCCATATTGACCAAGCTCCACGCCGCTATGTGTGCCCTCAATGAGAGATTGGCAAAGGAAGAAGGGGGTACGGATAACCCATTAGTCTTATCTCCCAATGAACTTGTGACAATGGCTCTGGATGAAGAGGAGAAGGCGGCAAAAGATAACCCGAGCATATATGCGAACGTCATCAAACTTCGGATTGTTAAGCTCCCAAAATTGAGCTTAGAAGAATGGAAGAAGGAAGTGAAAGCTCATCTGAATGAGCGATATTACAAGATTGAGCCAAACCAACAGAACGCTCAACAAAAGACACTCGAAACTGGACTCAGTACAAAGGAAGAAATTGCCGTTGCTAGCAAGTTGATCACTCCTCTGGAGGGGCTCGAACAGTATGGTTATGTGACCGGGAAGCCTACAAAGGAAGAAGTTGAGAGTGCACGGAGGGGAGTCAGCGAGTCCAAAGGCTGGGAGAAGTGCGATAGATGTGGTGGACGATTTCAAGTTTTTCCTGGCCGTCGCGAAGATGGCTCGTTGACGACTGGAGGTCAATGCACATATCATCCTGGCAAGCCATACTACCCACCAAGAAAACAAACAGACCACATCACCGGTGCTAGAGAAGCATACTTTCCCTGCTGCAATGAGTCCATCGGGACTTCTTCTGGCTGTACCAAGGGAAGCACACATGTGTTCAAAGTATCCGAGTCTAAACGCCTGGCTTCTATCCTTCAGTTCGAAGAGACACCGATCCAAGCCGATAAAGGGCCGCAGCAGCCTGTCTGTTTCGACTGCGAGATGGGATACACAACTCTTGGACTTGAGCTCATCCGCCTTACTGCCGTCAGCTGGCCTCACGGAAAGCAGCTCTTGGACGTTCTCGTTCGACCCATGGGTGAAATTCTAGACCTCAACTCACGCTTCTCAGGCGTGTTTCCCGAGCATTACAAAAAGGCAGTTCCCTACAATGGCACAAGCAGCCCGTCCGCTGCTGAGGAGGGCGCCTTGCAGGTTGTAGAATCCCCAGCAGCAGCACGTGCACTTCTATTCAAATTTTTACAACCTGATACGCCTTTGATTGGACATGCAATTGACAACGATCTCAACGCTTGCCGTATTATACATCCAACAATCATCGATACTGTCCTCCTCTACCCACATCCACGAGGGCTGCCGATTCGCATGGGCCTCAAAGCTCTCGCCAAGAAGCATCTGGATCGAGATATTCAAACAAGAGGCAGTC